GCATCCTGGCTTGTATCAGGAATAGTGTGGCCAGCAGGACCAGGGAGGTGATAGTGCCCCTGTACTCGGCACCTCGAGTGCTGTGTTCAGTTTTGGGCCCCTCCCTACAAGGAGGACATGGAGGTGCTGGAGCGTGTCCAGAGAAGGGCAATGAAGTTGGTGAAGGGTCTAGAGCACAAGTCTTATGAGGAGTGGCTGAGGGAGCTGGGGTTGTTTAGCCTGGAGAAGAGGAGGCTGAGGGGAGACCTTATTGCTCTCTACAACTGCTTGAAAGGAGGTTGTAGCAAGGTGGGGGTCGGTCTCTTCTCCCTAGTGACAAGCGATAGGATGAGAGGAAACAGCCTCAAGCTGCGCCAGGGGAGGTTTAGGTTGGACATTAGGAAAAACTTCTTCACCAAAAGGGTGGTCAAGCATTGGCAGAGGCTGCCCAGGGAAGTGGTTGAGTCTCCATCCCTGGAGGTATTTAAAAGATGGGTAGACGTGGTGCTCGAGGACATGGTTTAGTGGTGAACATGGCAGTGATAGGTTAACAGTTGGACTCGATGATCTTAAGGGTCTGTTCCAACCTTAACGATTCTATGATCACTTCGCTCCCCAGTTTGTGGCCGTGGCATACACACTCCTGTCCCTGACAGCGCATGGGGACAGGTGGGAGCCGGGGCAAGCTCTGCCTCCAGTGCCCCCCATGCACATTTCGGAGGTGTGCTCCATGGCAGGGGTACCCCTTTCCCTGGCTGCAGCAGCACTTCGGCCTCTCCCCACTGCACTGCAAGTGTCCTTCTGGTTTTGTGTTCTTTACTTATTTTTGGCCCTGAGGTTTCCTTCCAGAATAGCTCCAGGGCGTGGAAATAGGATGGTGCAGCCCCGACCACAGCCTCGGCCCCGCAGTGGACCCGGGCAGGATGGGAGCACGCTGCTCTGCTCGTTTACCACCCTGCAAAAATAATAATTAAATTTGGACATAGGAGCCATGTCAGCCTGTGCGAGACAGGGACACTCTGACCGTGAGGTCTCCACAGGCTTGGGCAATTACATCAAAACAGTACGCAGTGCCCTTGCCGGGCCATGCTGGGTGCAAGCCCACCCAGCTTCAGCGCAAAGCTGGTGCCAGCAGCTGGTGTAAACCCGACGGGACCGATGGCGGGGCTTGGGTGCAGCAGCAGCTGCCTGGGGGGTTTGTCATCGTCCGCTGTGCGAGGGCAGCGATGCGCCCACGCAGGGCTTGGGGAGCAGGCTGCCTGCCTAACCCCCAGCTCGCTTGCCAAAGCATGTAACGAGCAACACAGCAGCACACTTGTACACGTTAAAAAAAAAACAAACTGATGGGAGTGCAGAAGGGAAACCATTGCATTTGCACACGTGGGCTGCACGCTGCACGCCTGCCGCCTCATCTCAACATGCTCCCAAAAAGTGGGTTTTTGTTGCTGTCAGCTGTTGGCACATCCCCCAGAGGCAGGCGAGCTGTTCCGTGTTTTGTTTCCAGCTGTTTATCTACAAAGGTGAGATTGTTTTCATGAAGCTGTCAGATGCTGTGATCACTTTTAATAAGAGATACCAAATGCTGCTTTTGGGCAAATGGGTGACCTCTCCAAGCCCTGCTGCCTTGGACAGCCGGAGTTCTTGCAAAACTATTAAGTGCTCCAACCCTGAGATGTGATGCTTTTTAAAATTTATTTTTTTGTATTAATATTTTAAATTGAAATGTTTTGGATGCATTTGGCCAACTTCCCTGCTGGTCTCCCTGCGTTGTGCTGCGAGGTTGCTGCTGCTGGTGGCCTGCCCAGGCAGCACCCGCTCCCTGGCCCAGGAGCTAAACATAGGTGCTGGCCGCGCAAGGCACTTTAGCACACGTTAATTATCCTGGTGCTTTTTAGGGATCTTGGGTGAAACACACATTTTTATAGTCAGTTTTCTTTTTTTAAGCAGCTTGGAGCAGCAGCCCTTTAATTACATTAAAAATCGCCTCCCACCAGCACTCTCTGTTCCCCAGCCCTGATGAAATTTAAGCTGAAAGCCGGGCACGTGCTCACTGCTCTCCTGCACAGGGCAGCCCATGACGGCGTGGGGCAGCGGGAAGCGGGGCTGTCTCTGTCCTGTGCCCCCCACATCACCCCCCAGCAGGGCGGCCCCTCCACCTGCCCCAGCCCCATGGTGCTGGGGGGGCGGCAGGTCCCTCATGATGCTGGTGTCTCTCTTTACTGGAGGCTGCTGCGTTGGCATCGGAAAACTGCATGGCTTCTTTTTTTTTTTTTTTCTTTTCTATTTTTTTTTTTTTGTGTGTGTGTGTGTGGGTTTTCCTGGCCCGAGGCGCCAGCCGAAAGCCACGGCCAGCTCCAGGCCTCCCTTGTAATTACGGCTCCTCACAGTGACACAAGGGGCTTTGAAGCCCATGGGGCAGGCACAGCTGCGCCCTGCAGCCCTGGGGTTTGCACGGCAGGGACACGGCCCAGCTTGCTGCCAGGGCTGCCGGACCCCCAGGGGGCTGCAAGGGACCTCTCCCTCCCCAAAAGCATGCGATGTGCATGGTGTTTCGTCAGCAGTTAGCAACTCCCCACGATGTACCTGTTGTTGATGTGGTGATGAGCAAGAAGACAAAATAACAACAACAAAAAAAGCTTTGTCTTTCTGGTCCTAACCTGGGAATTTGGTTAACTGGAAATCCTTTGCTTCCCAACCAAATTCAGACTCAAACTGGGCTCCCCTGGATGTGGGTGAGGCTTTTGGCAAGCACAGCCCCCGGTTTTGAGCAGAAACATGAGCTTTCAGGTCTTCCACTGCAAAGCAGATTTTTCTGCCCTAAATAACCACAGTTTTATCACTGGCTAACCTGCATGTCATTGATCTGCTTGAAGGCATGCATTTTCCAGCCCCACCGTTCTCTCCCTGAGGGTTGTAGGGCTGAAGGCATCAGCTGGGATTGGCAATTCTCCTTGCTGCTGTGGAAAGCAAAGCTGCGTTTGGCGAGGAGTCATTCCCCTGAGCTGCTGCACCCCGGGCCCGTGCAGGAGCGGCAAGGGGCCTTTGCTGGTGAGTGCAAGAAAAATCTGGGAAAGAGCGAGCAGAGGTGCACTGGAGAGCTGGGAGGCTGAAATCCCAGTAGGAAATGATAAATATAGGGAAAGGAGAAAGGATGTCCCTGCAGAGGTGGGTGCAGGGGGGCAGCCGCAGCACCTGCGTACCCCCATCCCCTGCCATCAGGTGCAGGGCAGGAGGAGTAGGCTCCCACCACTGGCCGTATCCTGCCACCAAGGTCCCCACTGAGCTTTGGGTGGCCATACGGGTGGGTTTTTTGCAATTTTTTGCCCCAGGCAGTTATTCTGCTTTGCTGCGGATGTGTACAGAGCTGCCAGATTTCAGCTGGGGAATACCTGATTTTGGAGAGCGGGGGTCCGGGCTGGCCCCTGCGTGGGTCTGTGTGGTTTGGGAGGCATGAGAAACAAAGCAGGTGTGCATTTTGTAGCATCACTGTGGCAGAAATGGCTCTCGAAGGGGGACTGGTGACACCTGTATCTGAGTCCCCTTTTCTTTCCCTGCCCTTCCCAAGGCCCATTTCACCTCTGCAGGCAGCCTGGAGAGGGACTTGTTTGGATTTAGCCTTTTTTTGTCTAATGGCTATGCCCAAGTGACTTGGAGCCGGGCCTTTGAGGTTGGTCTTTTTTGTCTTCTTGAAAAAACAGTGACAGAATTTCCCAAAAAGGGAGGTAGACACCCCCTGAGAACAGATTTCCCAATATTTATTTTAATTTAAATCCAGAGTGTTATTATACCCTCTGGTCTCCTGGCCATTCCTCTGAGGGCAGACCCTCAATTAAGCGGCGCGGTGCAAACCTCCCCGGGTTTGGCAGCGGTGCGGGGCGCTATGTTTGTGCACCAAATCTGCCGGCGTTGAAGTTTGGGGGTTTTCTGGTGCACGCTGGCGGGCTGGCGTCACTCCGGGCAGGGCGGCGACTGACTTGGGGGGGGCAAAAATAGACCTTATATCCCGGCGGGGCAGCGGCAGGAGGAAATCTGTGCGGGCTGACTCGACGAGTAGCTGTCGGTGCCGTGGCAGGGTAAGCTTGCTGCTGCTTTTCCCAGCTGGGTTGTGCATTGCTGTCTGCTTTTTGCAGGGGGATGGGGGGGCCTCAGCTTGCTGGAGGGGCTGGATGCTGCTTTTAGCCCTTTCCTGGGTCTGTGGCTTTATGAAGCACTCAGGTGGAGGGCATGAGCATTCAGAGCCTTGCTGCATGGCCAGGGAAGCTAGCTTGTGGCCAGTTGTTCTCTAGCCTGAGTTAAACGAAGATGGGGAAACTTCAAGTGCAGGTGAATATAATAACAGCATCTGGCTGATGGTGGGTTTAGCCAGAGGAAGGGTAGGAAAAAGGAAGGTTAGTGGGCCTGACTGAGCCTAGGGGAATGCCGGGAGCATCTCTCCCTGGGGGGAGGCTGGGGCGCTGTGGGAAGGGTCGGGCATGCTCCTTGCTGGGGCTGGGATGGAGGAGGGCAGGCCGGGTTTTGGTGCTTAGGAGGTGCAGCTTGGACCTGCGCAGAGCCAAGCCTCCCCCCCAGATATGCCTATGGGAGGCTCCTTGCATTGGTGCCTTGCCACTGCTATTTTTGTCAATGGCAGACTGTAGAAGCTGATTATATTCATTTATTTGTTTGCTTATTTATTTTTCCTCAATGAGGTTAAACTCTCTGTGGTGTAATTCCCAGGGGCACTGCTCCCTGGGCAGAGCCGGAGCAGGTTGCAGGGCTGTGGGAGGGCGGCCGCAGTGGGCAGCGCTCCCGCCAGCTGCTCCTGTCGCATCTCCGGTGGGGGCTGGTTTGTCCTGCTTGCTCACAGGCGATGGGGAAGCAGGAGAGGAAAGCTGACCCCATCGAGAGAGGGCTGGAGATCAGCCTTTCTTCTCCCCACTCACGCATGTGGACACAAACACCTGTATGGTTTGGGGTAGTGAGTGCTTTCTAGCTGAAAAGCAAGCCCTCGCCGTGTTTCGCTGTTCCTAGAGAAAGCAGCCATGAGGACTGCCCTGGTCTTCGCCTGCCTGGTGGGGATGGCATGCTCCTTCTCGGTGAGTGCCGGGCAGTGGGGGGCCCCCCCGGCCTCACTGGGGCTGGTGTGGGGTGTGTGCCAACCCAGCCTTTCCCCCAGGTCAAGAGCTGGCTGCAGCGAGCCAAGTCAGACGACTCGGAAGAAAACGCGGTAGGGCCTCCCCCCACCCTGCGTGCCCAGCCCCACGCGGCACTGGCCTTGAGGACAAGGACATTTCGGTCACTCCTGTACCCAAGCTCCCAGGCTGATGGGATTTAATGCCTTTTTCTCCCGGTAGGTGTTCAAGAACAGGCACCGCTATTACCTGTACAGATACGCCTACGTGCATCCCCCGCAGCGATGGTACCAGGTGGGTGCTTCAGAGGGTTTGCTGATGCTTCGCAGCGCACCAGATGTGGAGATATCGGCCCAAATGAGATGGGGGCACAGTCTGCGCCCCGTCTGCCACTGGCCTGCAGGGCTGGGCTGAGACTCTCGCACTCGTGACACCAATGGAGACCCGCCAGCCCGGCTACAGCTTGGTTTTCCCTCTCCTTAGGGCAGTGACTCATCGGAGGAAGAGGGGGATGGCTCAGAGGAGGAGGAGGAAGGGGGGGTGAGTATGGCAAACCAGCAGCCCGCAAAACAAATACGGGAATTTGGGAACTTTCTTTGGTTTTGTAGTCTCTGTTCATCAGCATTTGTGGCCGCTGACCGCCCACAGCCTTGCACTCTGGATGCGACTGGATTTTCTACTCTGGGCTTTATTATTTTTTGTGTATTTTTTTCCTTTTTCTTCTTTTTTTAAAGAGGATGGGTGGGGGATGCACCAAACAATCTGGAGACAAACTTTCCAGGTTTCCATTTGCAGTGGCTCAGAAAGGAGCAGGACAGGCCAAAGGGCAGAAAAATGGAGGCTCACCCGCAAGGCAAAAGGTGGTTAGGGACTCCTCTTCCCCTTTCAGGGTGCGTTGCCCCCATAGTGCTGATAAAATTGCTTTGGAAAACACAGTTACACTCTGCACGCGTGCACGTGGAGGGATGCTATACTGGGAGATGCACATTGGTACCAGCCCAGCCAGTAACGCTGCTCCTGTCTGCTGGGTCAATATGAGCTTAGGCACCGCTGCATTTGCGAGAGTCACCCAGGTCCAAAATTAAATGCCAGGGATTACAAAGGTCTCTTGTGGCTCACTGAGCTGCAAATGCTCAAAAATAATCCAGTGGTCTCAGGCACACAGGTGCTTTGAGACAGGGATCCGGCATGCTGGGAAACCTATGTGTCAGGTCCAATCACATCTCTTTTTTTGTTTGTTTTTTATTATTATTTTAATGCTAATTTCAGGGGTCTTTTTTAACAGGAGTGTAAGCCTGGGCATCTGGTCTTAAAAATCCCTTTGGAGGTCCACCTGGGGCTGGGGTGCAGCACGGGGTGGCCCCCGTCCCCCAGGCAGGTGCCCCTGCCAGCCCCTCCCTGCAATTTGCCCCTTTCTGCCTGTTGCTCTCCCCTGCCACTGTGATCACTAGGGATAACTTTGAGTAGTGGGATGAGACAGCCAAAGGGGGAATTTCATTCCCGAGGAAGAAATTAAGTGAT